AGCGGCCAGTCCCCTCGCCGGACACCCGCGGGGCCGGTGGAGTGACCGAGCAGGTGCTGCCGAACCGGTCCGCCACGGGAAGGTTCTGCCCAAGGTTCGGGCAGTCCGGTCGCGCTGGCCGTCCCCAGTGCGCGCTGTGCCCTGTCCCTCCTGTGTGCTTGTCTCAAAGCAGATGTTTAAGTAAAAACAATGTGGCGGTGAACGGCTGGTTCAGTTTTGGTTTGTTCTGATGGAAATTTACAGTTGTAGTAGGGTCGTGTTGCTAGGGTTCCTGCCTGCACTTGTTGATGGTCTAGCACTCTTGCAAAAACGGTGGATATTTTATTTTTGGGAAAAGCCATGGCAAATACCTTTGGAGTTTTGTTTTTTTTAAAGTTAGGCCACTGAAAAATACTCTCTGCTTGAGCAACATTTTCGGCTTGATTAGGGTGAGATGACAGAGAGCTGGTTTTTTTCTCTCTTTGCCCCTTTTTCTTTTATTTAGTACAGGGATGTTAATACTAAAGAAGCTGTTTTCCCTGTTCTGGAAACTCTTTTTTTAGTAGAAGATGGAAAGGTTGCATTCTGTAAGACAGGGCTGCGGGCACACTTAACAAATAGTGTTTGTTAGAGTTGTTTGCTATAGTCTGTGTTCTGTCTTGCTAGTACAGACTGCACTGTGACTGAGGGGCACCTGTTCAGGCAGAGAACGGGTGCAAATAAAGAGTTTGGTGTACTTGGAATAAAATTCTGCATTTTTTATTAATTTTTTTTTCAGCTTCCCCCGTGAGAAGCTCTTGTGCTCCCTAGATGGAGTGGGTACTTTTGGGCCTTGGAAAGTTGTTATTATTCATGCTTACAACACCTTTCAAAAACTAAAATCCCCTAACTTGTAAATTAAGTGCATGGATTAAAAACTTGACTGAGGTATGCTGAAGTGGTTGTGATAAAACAAGAAGTGGCCCTGCTGCAGTGCAGTTACACCTCTCCATGTTGCCCCTTGTACTTCCACCTGACCCATGTTTCTAATAGATATTAATTGTTCCTCTGAATCCTGTCTGTCTTCAGAGCTGAGAGTTGGTTGTGCACCCTTGAGAACCTGTGATGCCCTGTAAGCTCGTGGTGTAGTATCTGCATCCTTTCTGCAGGTGGAAGAAGGGCAGTTGTTTCTGTTGTAGTTGGTTTTAAGTGGCCATTTAGATATGAATACAGGACTGCAGGGCCAATTTGATATGCAAGTGATAGTGGTGAATTCTAATGCTATTGTTGTGTGTTTGTTTTGGTTGTTTTTTAAGGTGTCTTGGGAGGAGCTGTGTGTAGGATCCTGGATGGGATCTGGAGGAGCAGGTGACTGTGGCAGTGTGGAGCCAGCAAGGCACCCTGTCCCAGGACAACAGCCCTCTGCTGGGGTCACTCTGCCAGTGGGCAACCACCTATACAAGGCTGAGGGAGTCTGTGGGTGGCATGGGAAGGCTCTGGATGTGTCTGTAGCCTGCTGGGACAGATCCATCTGCTCTTGGAGGTGCACTGTGGCCTTGCCCCAGGTACATGTCCCACTGTCACAACCTCCCTGATGTCACCACAGCAAGCTGAGCTGTTGCATAGCAAGCCCACCAAAAAGTGGCAAGTTTTCTGCAGTTTGCATGCGCAGTGTTTGCTTGAGGTGGGGTTAGGCGAGCACTGGCACAAGGGAGGTGCAGGAATG